CTTCCCTCTCTCCCCCCTTCCCCCCTCCACGGGTAACCTGCCGGCATGAAGAAGACCCGCAGCACCAACCTCAGGCGGGCCTGGCCCAGCTCGGATCTGTCGGAGCGGGCCTTGGAGCGCATCCGCTCTCGCAGTGAGAAGGACTACCACCACCATAAGCACTTTCCACCGCCCCCTCCTCCGACCCACATCTCCCCTTCTCTGCGGGGCTACATGACACCAGGTGGGTCCCCCAGGACCTCTGATTCATCTTGAACCAGAGGCTGTAAATCAGGGTTCCACACATCTGTTCCTGAAGGACCACTGCCCTGCAGAGTTAAGATCAAACCTACCTCACCTACCTGTAATTTTCTAGTAACTCTCAAGACCTTGATTAACTTGCTCAGGTGTCTCTGATTTGGGTTGGACCTAAACTCTGCAGGGGCAGTGGACCTTGTGGACCAGATTTGAGGAAACCTACTGTGAATGTTTGTTAACCTAGTGAATTAGTAACCTGTCATTCTCCATCATCAGCGTGTCTTGTTTAAATGGCTATGTGAGGTTGATGCGCTGATAGACAGGGGCTTTTGGCACGCTATAGTAGCGAAGCAGTCGCAACAGCACAAGCAAAGCAAAGGATGAAATCAAGCATCATGCATCCACCATTTTGGTCCCAGCAAGTTTTTTATTTTTTATTTTATACAGTATTTAGTTTGTAGCATCATGAATAACAATTCTGGCAGCTGGTTTCCCAGTTGTACATGTGTAGTGAGAGAGATTCTGAGATGGCCTCAGGCTTCATGGCTGCTTTTCTTCATTTCGGTTGTGAGTGTTCTGTTATTGTCCATAATATTCAGCTGGAGAGCTGGTCAGGCCTGTAGAGGAGCTTAATATTGAAATGGCAAGGTGACACCACCTCAGTTTTCAAAACTGTATTTTTAATCTGTGTTTGGGTAAATAAAGTTGCCAGTCCTTTTAGTTTGGCGATTTTACAGATATGTCAAAAGCAATATTTCTGCTTGCACATTGTACGGTCGTGTGTGTGTGTGTATGTTCATGAGGTGTGAGCAACTGGGTGCAAAGTTAGCACAGAGACTGTGAAAAGGAGAAAATCTGTAAGTTCTCTCAGTTTTAACCATACCAGTGAACACTCACAAATAGGGTACATCTTCGTGTCCTATAACATTTTTGTAAAGCATTTAATGCACAAATTCCACGTTTTTGTTGTGAGAACTAACCAAACCTGTCCCACCCTAAAGGTCTTGACTTTCTAGGCTATATCCAACAATTAAAATCAATTTTACTTATGTTGAATTGATATTCAGTTTTTTGTACTAAATATATTTTTCAGTTTTTAACAAATTGCCATCACCTCTTTCTGCATCATGGCCCGAAGACAAGTAAATTTCCACAAATTGTAGTCACAGCATCCATCAAATTTAAGAATACATCCCTTTTTCCTAAACTAATGACGATCAAACAAATGTTGTCTCTTTAGGTATTGAGAAATTAAGTTTATCATTAACCAGCTGTGCCTAAACCAGCTAAACTTTACTGAGTGGTAGCTTAATTTAGGCTAAAAATGTGCACTTGATACATTTTTCATTGTAATTTAAAGGTTGATTTAATGTTTATTTCTGGGTTGAGAAATTAGATGCAAAATAAACTGTTCATAGTTTGACCTTCTAAGGCAGATAATCAACATTTTATGAAGGTTAAGTACCTCCTTTCTTTGACTATTTGCTAAAAAATGGAACATGGAATGTGCAACAAATTAGGCTAGTGTTCACCAGATGAGGTTTACATTGTCTGTACTCCAAGCCAGATAAAAGTGTCTACACTTGAATTATCACTTTTTCCAGGTCTCACATTTTTAACATGGCAATTCCTTTTCAGCTTCGGTCCCTCTATTCTTTAAAGGAATTGTGAAAAAAAATTGTATTTACATATTGTTCCCCCACCATTAAAGCAAAAAAGGAAACATTTTGGTGAATGTTTGAGCTGCTCTTTTACTTTAAAGATCATATGTCAAGTGAGAAACAGTGTGAAAAGACAAACAAGTGAGAAAAGTGCTTGAGAAACAGACCAAAATTTAGAGCCCAGGCTAATTGGAAATAGTGCCTGTGGAATTTTGCAATACTGATGTTGCTTTTTGCATTTTATGCAACACCTTAAAGTGAACTGTCCAGTGAATGGTGATAAAAGTGTGTTAGTTTGATCTGAAACAGATGAATGTGAATCTGGCAATGTTTTGTTACACTGGTTATTGTACATATTGCGGTAATTTGGAAATTAAATGTCCAGAGTGGAACTAAAAGGTAAATTCTCTGTCGTGTTAACCGATAGCAATAAGAAAAATAAATAAATAAATATGATAAATATATATATATATAAGATATATACATAAAAGATAAAATGCACTTTCTGAAGTAACCATACAATTGTAGCTGGCTTCTATAAGTGAGTTGAGCTCTTTTATTGCAAGTTCAATTCTGTACCAGGTGAGCTACCAAGCAAGTTTACTACATGAGAAAAGCCATACATGTGGAGCTGGATATGTGATGCAAATGTCAAAATGTATTAGTTTACAGATATTATAATTTGATAATCTGGAAATGTAAATCCTTATTTGCTAAAAACCTATCCTCTGCCATAGCTTTTAAATCGCATGCTGCTAACACAGCTACAGCAGCATGTCATATATAGTATATATAAAATATATGTATTTGTTCATAAAACTGTTTCCTTGCTTCCTTTTCAGGAGGGCGCTATTTTACCAACCAGCTTTATTGTGTGCCCACCTACAGTAGGTGTCAAGATTGTCCTTAAAATGATGCTACCTTTACCTGTTAGCACAGACTAATCGTGGTATACAGACCTATCCTTGACCTTGACTAACTTCAGGGGCCTACTGCTATTATAAGTGAAGTCAGCTGTCTGTTGGACCAATACTCATATGCCCCATTGAACACAAATAAATTGAAATTAATTATAAATATTATAAATCTATGCCATCAATTTATAAGTGCTATAAAAATAAGCAAGTTTTCTTAAATTTAGTATTTTTAACATTCTTAATTGGGCATGAAGATACAATACCATTCAATGTATTTTTTGGAAACCATGATACATTTTTTTTCAGGATTCTTTGATAAATGGGAACAGCATTTATTTGGAATACATTTTTTTGTAACAATGTAAAAGTTTAACTGTAACTTTTGATTGATTGAATATGTCCTTGCTGAATAAAAGTATTAATTTCTTTAAAAAAAATAATAAAATCTCACTGACCTCAAAGTTTTTAATGGTAGTGTAAATCATAGTTATTGTATGTGTCTGTGGAAAATTTTGCTGAATCCTGTGCTAAAAGCAAAACCAACATCTTCTTTAATGTATTTCTACTAAAAAGAAAATGTTCCTAGAAAGTTCCTAGATCTTTAAAATCAGTGTGAATTTCAAATTGGTTTTTCGCAACACATTAAATTACCAAGAGACAGGATATTCCATGAAATCAAAAAAAGTTTGTTTTATCCATTAGGAATTGATTGGATGGTGAAAAACGGGTGGTACATACCAAATTGAACCACACTAAATGCAAGTTTGTAAATCACTGCCCAAGTAGCTATTTGGATATTGGCTGATATTGTCCGAAAGCCTGCCTGATGTAAGTGATGTCAGCAGAAGAGGAAAAAAAATTCAAGTTCAAAATATTAGAAAGCCAATAGCATTTTTCCTGTTTTGAATAACTTATACCAATAAATCAATGTGCATTAAGAAAGTCGATTTTATGTTGATTAAGGGTATCATCTTGCTTGCCTGTTTTCCACTGAACTGTTTTGGACTTTATTTTAGTGACACAAAGTAACTACACACGCTTGCACGTACGCACCGGCCCAGCTGTGACAGAGTCCCTGATTTAGGCGTGGGAGAGAAACGAGGCCATGCTGGTGCAGTAATAGCCTGGCCTCTGTAGTAATGTGCGTAGAGGAGAAAGAGAGAGATAGAAGAGGCGGTGCTCGAATAAATTGCTGGTCTCTGCCTACAGTCAGCTGATAGATTTGTAGAAATCATCCAGCCACTATGAGCAACTCAGTTAAGCCTTTGGGATCTTTTCCATTAAAAATGAGACACACATATGCAAGTGTGAAAGATGTCTGTGCCGTGCACAAGTCCTCATATAGTGCCTCTTGCTTTCACTGTTCTGATAAACACATACACCTGTTTTAATATAGACCATCTCATTATTTCCTCACAACACAGATTCGCTCTGTCGTTCTATTTTTTTTCTCTCTTTCTCTCTTCTACACATACTATTACTCGTTGCACCAGGCTAAAAATATCCACCCCAGATCTGGACATCCCAGATGCTGACATCACTAATGGGACTGTATGCAGGATTTGCATGGAATGATTGAGAAGAGAATGAGAGAGGGAGGGATGAACGAATGGTGAGTGATCAGGCCACAGAAGTAGGACTGCAAGCTAACATACTGCATGAAGTGAAGATTTTGCATTGACCCCCATTTGAAGCAGCATTCGTTTATAGTCTGTCCCATATAGCGATATTTGACCTTTCCGTTGTGTAGTAAAGAACGCTGGTCTCCATTTTGCGCCAGGCATGAAGGTTACTATCAAAACTGTACAGTAACATGGAGGGCTGTGCATATGGTATGACTGTATCTTCCCTACCTCTGTATTCAGTCAATGTGCTTGTAGTATTGTTGGCTATGGGGTACAACTGTGCTTATTGTCTTCAGAAGGAAATGGGTCAGCAGAGAGTCTGGGCCTAGTCTGAGGGGACCACCCAGCGCACTCCACTCTACCCCCTTCCTCTTTTCGGTTATAGCTTGGACCACTATGCTGCTAAGAGTAAAGGTCTAGTGGATTTAAGAAATTAAAAGATTATTTTATTTATAGTTTGAAGTTTAGTGTAACAGAGCTATGTTTTCCTTTTGCTGTAGATAGATTTGCTGGGTCTTAAGCCAACTTTTTGGTCTTCAAAAATGATGAGATGAGAAAAGGAAACTGTGGTTGAGCGATCTTAAAGGGGACATCGGATGCCCATTTTCCACAAGTTGGTATGATCATTTAGGGTCTTCATGAAATGTCTGTAACATACTTTGGTTAAAATTCCTCAGTGGTTATGTAAAACAACACCAACTATTTTACCTTGTCAAAAACAGCTCTGTTCACAGCGACCTGTTTCGGTGCATGTCCCTTTAAAGATGACATATCATGAAAATCTGACTTTTTCAGGTTTTAAGTGCTATAATCAGGTCCCCGGTGCATCTACCAACCAAGGAAACGTGAAAAAGATTAAACCAGTAACTTTGTTTTGGTAAGCCATTTTCTGCAAGCGTCTGAGAAAACGAGCGCGTCTGATTTCGCTCCCCAAGTGATGTTGCAAAGGGATCTCATTATAATATTACCACCCCTTAATCTGCACGTTTCCACCCACGGCGCCGTCATTTGATTTCGCAAGTGACAACGGTGTACCAGTTCTAATGCCATGGCGAAAGTTCTTTGTCTGCACAGACGAGCACAGAACACTGTTTAGAGTCCCAGCCTTAGAGGAGACAACAGAGCAGTGGATTTATTGATTTATTTACTGTATATTACTGCTGCCACACAGATCTAAAATAAACATGCATGTTTTTATTTAACTCGTGTGTGTTTTTAACGTGAACTTAAAAACATGTGTGAATGAGAACTTAGTTTAGTACTCGCATGCTGTGACAGAAGCTTTCTGTCCTTGTGCTTCGGATGTGTGCACTCAGAAAACTTGTATATTAGAAGTTTAAACTAATATGGTTTAAAATGCATGATTTCAGTGCGATAAACATGATAATCAGAACCAAAACAGATGTTTTTTAGTAGGTACGAGCTGTAATGGCGCAGCTCTATTCTGGAAAAGAGGGCGGGGAACAGCAGCTCATTTGCATTTAAAGAGACCGCCACGAAAAACAGCGCGTTTCTGCTTCCATTCAAAATAGGCATTTTCAAAAAGATATAAATGATCTGTGGGGTATTTTGAGCTGAAACTTTACAGACACATTCTGGGGACACCAGAGACTTATATTACATATTGTAAAAAGGGGCATAATATGTCTCCTTTAAATGGTAATGAGCTACTGCTCACCCCACCCATCTCTTCCGTGGGGTGTGTCAACACAAAACTTGTGAATATATTCAAATATATCTTGGAGGTGGTCTTATTCAAATAGCTAGCTAGCTATCTACTTAGAAACCGGCTGCAAATCGAAACAGCTCACTGTATGACAGAGTTTCAGACTCAGACAGCCTTGTAATGCTTCCATCTTTTCTGAGCTGGCAGACACACCAGAAAACTAAATGCAAAAAAAAGTGAAAATTTAATCCAATGTCCCATTTAAGCCTAACGAATACTTCAGCTGCCTGCATTCCACAACAGCTGTCCGCATTCCTAGTGGACTTTCTGTCTTAACATTCACTAGACGCATGCGCTGTGTGCACAGTACACCCAGACAGTCTGCGGACACTCCTATTGATGAAAAATAAAAAAGAGAAACAAAAAAAAGAGAGAAAACTGCGTGGACTGTCTGCATGCACTGTACACATACAACAGCGCATGCGTCAGGTGAATGTTAAGACAGAAAGTCTTAAAGGTGTTGCTGTGCATGTGTCGAACTTGTCCATCCACTCTCATCCGCGGTGGAATACTTTGAAAGCTGTGCGGACATGGCTGTGCACAAGACTGAGCGGAACGTGGAAAAAGTAGTATACCCGGGCCTTTAGGTTTGTCCAGTTTCATCAAACTACCCTAGATACAGTGAGGTCAGAAAATCTGAGATCTTATTAGAAATCCGATATATTTAAAGTTTAGCTTAAACTTGTAAATAAACAGTTTTCAGTTTATAAAAAATATAAACTTTTTTTTAACTACTTCTTTGTCACTACATTTACATGTGTTTTAATGTTATTACTAATAATAGAAAAGCATACACTATAATATTTATTTTTTTCGTATAACACCAACTTTATTTAACTGTTCTAATACTTTATTAGACAGAACTGTTAAACAGAGACTGTAAAACTATAGGGGTTATGCGCAACAGACTTCCGTATTCTGTTAACCGGGTCTCGTCGCTTCCGGTTCACGCGTTTTGCATATGCTTAGCTAAATATGAAGCAGTTTTACTCAAGATGCCTTCAAAGTAGATACCAATGATGATCATAACCAATGTCCATCACATATGCGGACTGATATCTAAAAGTTTTTTTTAATTTTTATTCTTTTCACATTTAGATATAAAAATGGAATAAAACGTCAACAATAAAAACAGCTAGCTAGTTTAACTGATTATCTTAAAAAATCAAAGATATCGCTATTATTTAATACGGTTGTTAACACGTTCTCAGACAAGCAGAAGCAATGAGACCTGGGGCAAGTTCAAGCTCAAACCGGTGTGCACCGTTTTGCTACGGTTTCCGGTTTGAACGACATGTTTCCTGGAAACGGTGCGCAACGGGGTTTGAGATGCATTTTCTCTTGTTTGGTGGGTGTGTCAATGAGAGACAGCTCGCACAATGTAATTAACATCCAAATAAATTCACAAGAGCAAGTATATTGTTTGCACGTTTATTTACATTAAAGGCAAAATAACTTAAATAATAAGACCACAAGTATATTAAGTCTGTCTAAATATAATTTAGTAATTGCAATGTCTTCTGGTCCATATCCTTTCCTTAGGAAGGTGCGCTAAATACTGATTAATGTAACATAAAAATACTATACATATTTATATATTTTGCTATTGTATTATGGAGTGACACTTTCATAAACTTTTCTATACCCCTCTGATTATATAATGGTAAATATTACAATATCATAGCACAACAACAGTGATCAGCAATAATGATAAGCCTAATACTCACAATAAAAATAATAAGGTCATATAGATCATAACACAGTCTTGGAGGTAAGAAATGGATTATCCTTCACCTGAAATGTTTGTCTTTTCATCCTGAAATGCGAGGCAAATGTTGGATCACAATAATTAGGAACCACAGTTGAAGGATGGCCTTCTCAGCTGCCATAGTTGCATCTCTTGCGTCATCAGAACAGGGTGTTCAACGCACCACCGTTTCCATTTAAAAAAACGTTTTGCACCGTTTTTGTCGTGGCTGAACGCAGCCCTGTGTTCCGGGTTTGGTCAGGTGATGTTCGAACATCGATGTTCGGCATTCTCATCGCTGTCAAAATAAAAGCCCGGCATGCCATCAAAATAAAAGACTTGCTTCCAACACATGTCCAAACAAAAAAAGAAAATTTATTGGTCAATGCCGATAATTAAAAAAAAAAATTGTCTGATTTATCAGCCTTGGTAATATATTGACTTACACCTAAATTATCACTTGATTGCAGTGCAAAGCTTTTTGCAGCCATGTTTTATTCCAGCAAACTAGAAAGTTAGCTAAACTAGTTATTAAGCCAAAGTCATGGGTTCAATTTACATGGAAAACAAGAACTGATACAAATGTGTACCTTAAATATAATATAATATAATTTGCTACCCCTCTGATTATATAATGGTAAATATTACAATATCATAGCACAACAACAGTGATCAGCAATAATGATAAGCCTAATACTCACAATAAAAATAATAAGGTCATATAGATCATAACACAGTCTTGGAGGTAAGAAATGGATTATCCTTCACCTGAAATGTTTGTCTTTTCATCCTGAAATGCGAGGCAAATGTTGGATCACAATAATTAGGAACCACAGTTGAAGGATGGCCTTCTCAGCTGCCATAGTTGCATCTCTTGCGTCATCAGAACAGGGTGTTCAACGCACCACCGTTTCCATTTAAAAAAACGTTTTGCACCGTTTTTGTCGTGGCTGAACGCAGCCCTGTGTTCCGGGTTTGGTCAGGTGATGTTCGAACATCGATGTTCGGCATTCTCATCGCTGTCAAAATAAAAGCCCGGCATGCCATCAAAATAAAAGACTTGCTTCCAACACATGTCCAAACAAAAAAAGAAAATTTATTGGTCAATGCCGATAATTAAAAAAAAAAATTGTCTGATTTATCAGCCTTGGTAATATATTGACTTACACCTAAATTATCACTTGATTGCAGTGCAAAGCTTTTTGCAGCCATGTTTTATTCCAGCAAACTAGAAAGTTAGCTAAACTAGTTATTAAGCCAAAGTCATGGGTTCAATTTACATGGAAAACAAGAACTGATACAAATGTGTACCTTAAATATAATATAATATAATTTGCTTTGGATGAAAAAACATCTGCCAAATGTATAAATGTATTGACTACAGAGCTCAGAACCACCACTATTGCTTAGTTCAGTTTCTAGAAAAGGGTTTCAATTACAAATCAAGATTATTTGTGAAAGGCATTGAATTACTTGAATTGAGTTATTTATTAACTACACAGTGTGTTTACAGTCACTTCACGTTTCATGATTGATTACTCTCCGATTGGGTATACACATGTACACTTGCTCACGTAAATGTGTGTGGATATAAATCCATTCTACTCCTCTTGTGCTATGTAATATTACAGAGTTCTTTGATTATGCTAATGTTAGACACCAATTTTTTCTGTTGAATCCTTCCTTTACCCCATATGGCAATTAGTGTTTGAATTTTGCAGCTGCACAATCCATGTGTGTTCTCCATGACTGCTCACTCATGTGTAGTTATGTTTGGGATGAATGAAGTTTACCTATATGGCCTGATTCAAATATATCCTGGAGGGCATTTACACTTGGTGTTTGCATGATCGGATGCTTTACAATTTCTGTTACTCCATCCCCAGACTCTCTTCAGAGGATGGCCTGCTTTTGGCAAGGGCTACTCTTGCCCTGGCTAAATTTGGAATCCAGTGCCACAGCATCTGCCTCAGAGACACCTCAGAATATTAGGATCATAGGTTTTTAAATGTGGCTGTATGATGGTGGATTTTCTATAGAGAGCTCAAGACTATATATATATATACAGTAATTATGGTGTTTTGTGTATATATTTATATAAAGTGAAGGTGGGTAACTTTTAAGCAGTTGTATTAAATAATAAATATAGTTTAATTTAAACTTTAAAACAGCAAATTTAAACTGGAACATTTAGAGATAATATCCAAAATAATGTTTACTACATGTATACTGCTTTCTCAGTATCAGATAATCTGTGTGTAAATTTGGGTTGTTCAGGGGGCTGGTTTAAACTATATTTTGGCACAAACTAGCCAGACCAGTCAATAGCATAACGTAGGCTGCCATTGATTTCAGCTCATGGTGACCTTGGCTGCTAATAAACAAAGAAAAGAAAAAAAAAGAAGAAGAAAACTTAATATTTTGGTCCAAGATTTCACATCCATATTCACTAGCATGTTTTATTAAAGTTGACTCATAAATCCAATGTTCCAGAGCTAAAATGTTTCTTATATAAATTTCATATGGTGGTTATGATGCAGATTTGAAGGATGAAAGTGTGTCAGTGCAGTGGAGTGTAGTGGCCAACAGTCTGCATACGCTCATCTGAGGCAGTGCTAGGCTAGGCTAGGTTAGCTGCAGCAGCGCATTAACACTGCTGGCCTAGTGCACACAATGCTTTGCATCTTCAGACTTTATTCACTGGTGTAATGCTGAATAAAAAGTATCCCACCTAGTTTATGTAATGCCTAGACCCTCAGCTGGAGTTTAGAAAGCATAAAAGAGAAGCAGAATGTAGAGGGGTAGCTCTGAGGAGCTCTTTTGTTAGAAATACTGCTACTGCACTAACAACACTGCAAACTACTAATAGTGAATGCTCAGCATTTTTTAAAAGCTGAATTGGAATTTTATTGACATTGATTGTATTTGTATGTTGACAATCCTGTATAAATTAGCATGTTGTTGGTGTATTATGTTTACAGAACAAAAACATACTTTGCACACGTCTACATACGGAATTAATGTATCATGATTTTATAGAGAGTGGGTCTGACATTCTGCTTAGTACACTGTAAAAATTGCATTTTTATAGAAAAAAGTAAAACACTTAATGTTTTTTGCAAGTAAAAACTATAAATCTCTATATAAATTTACAATTAAACATTTTAAAATGTGATGTGTCCCTACATGACACATCACATATGATTATATTATATAAAAGTAATTTAGTTTCTTATCATTTTTGTTATCAGTATTGTACATTAGAGTCATTTTGTGTTATTTGGTTAATGTTTATTGCATTATTTTAGTGTCTTGTGATACTGTCTTGTGAAGCCTGGAGTTTTGCAAAACTGAATCAATTACTAATTGAGACCTCAATATTCACTTTTGTTTGTAACTTAACTAGGCCTAGGACCTAAGTCTAGAACCTGGTCTAAATTGAAAGAGAAAGACTAAACTGATAATTTTTAAATGAGGTTGAGAACGTTTTAGGTGGAACATTATACTACTACTTTTGCCCAATAAAATGGCATTGGTTTAACAACCTCTAACAAGTTTCCTGCTTTGCCTTTGACTGCCAGCTTAAAGTATACTGTATATGTCACATCCCTCATAGCACACATACATCACGGAGACGTCTATTTGATGTCTGCATTTGCATCTGCAAGACATAATTTTTTAGAGCGTTTGCTCACCTGCAATACGTCTATAGGATGTTTCCTATCAGATGTCAAATGGACATTTAGAAAATGTCTTTAAGATGAAAAACTGACATCTATCAGATGTTTGTACACAGCAGATGCTTTCCAGATCAAGCGATCTTTAACAGACGTCTTGCAGTGTGCTATCTGGGAATCCACTCACATATCCTATGTATGAATTTAAAGTGATAGGTTGTATAGCTATTTAGGACAATTATGATCAACTTGTGCTTGACTGAAACCTTAAACAGACTCGCATATGTTCTAGCGGTTCCTCCCTACCCAGAGAGGCGTGTGTAGGACGAGTACTTTTAAAGCAGTTATCTTCACCCACCATTTTCAAACAAGCTGTGAATACACTGTTGATGTAACCAAGATGTTTTCATCCTCACTGAGGCCTGCTTTTTTCAGGCATTTGTGGTTCACTCTGACGTGGCTACACATAGACAAGGCTTAAGTCTGTCCAACAACCTGTTTTAGTCAGACTGGTGACCTTAATCCATTACCTACCTATCAGAAAGAGAGAGAGAGAGAGAGAGAGAGAGTGTGGACGTGTGTCTTATGGGGGGAGTTGAACTAGTTTGAAGCTGCTGGGCTGCCATATGGGACGTGATGTAATTCGTGGGCATGCTGAATGTGTGGGAGAGGCTGAATGTGATACTATATTAATTGATGTATAGAGATGTCATATATGGTCAGTCAGTGTATTTTTATTTAAGTAAACTGTTGGTTTTAAAGGGATAGTTCACCCAAAAATTAATATTTTGTCATCATTTACTCAACCACATGATGTTCCAAACTTGCGTGAATTTCTTGAACTGCACAAAACAAGATATTTTGAAGAGTGCCAGTAACCAAACATTTGTAGTAAATAGTAAATGTTTTTTCCATACTATGGAAGTCGATGGCTGTTTGGTTATGGACAACATTTTGGTTGTGTTCAACAGAAGAAAGCAACTCATGCAGGTTTGAACTTGAGGGTGAGTAAATGATGTCAAAATATTCATTTTGGGTGAACTATCCCTTTAAGTTAGACGCTTCCACCTTTTTTCATATGTAATTTGCAGTTTCAGAAAGATTTTGTTTTGCTCTTGGCTCTAGATCTGTGCCTCAACTATTACAGCCCTTCTCAGAGTGAACAGCACCACAGCACAAGCACAAGCTCTATACAATAGGGCTCCAAGGGTAGTGCTGGCCACATTTGGTGTGTACAAGCAAACACTTTTTTTTCTGGTTTGTTGTCATGGAGACGGATCTTTTGTGTCCTCTCTGACAAAAAATGAGGTCACCTCTCGTTCAGTGGGCAGCTGTGAGGATTTAGGTAAAGGCTCTGTCTCTCTCTTTCTTGCTTTGTTTCATTGCACTTTTTTTGGAGGTAGAGCTAACAAAGTACAAGATGTACCTAAATTGAGTAACAATCTGATAATCATGGAATTGTGATGAATTGTTACATTGTCTAGATAAACAGAATACATTATATTTTCGGTTTAAAGTCATTGTCAGTCGTTGAAAGTTTCATCATGTTTGTAGACTCACTTATCCACTTCTGTATGGATACATCTTCTAGGGAAGCTTGAGGTTTTCCAACAAGTTTCCACAGTGTTAGACTATTTAAGAAAACAAGAGGATCCTTTCTATATAATGAGCATATGTTTTTGTCTGCGTATGTATGAATTCCATGTATAAATTTTCAAAACGATCATAAAAGAATCAAGTCTTAAAATATACAAGGCCACAAGCATGGGTTTTACATATCAAACAGTCAACAAATCTGTGCCCCACTGAACCTTATTCACTCACTCCCACTCATTGTTTACATCATAGATCACCAAGGAGATTAGTCAGGTGACCATGCCTCCATCTTCTATCAGTGTTGGTGTAGCACCCCTGAATTGTTTGAGCATGTTCAGGTGCCAATTAGACCAGAAAATTAGCCTTAATTTCTCACATTGGATCAAATACCGGTAATACAGTCATTCAGGAAGATCAGGCTTCAGATGGAATACTGTTATTCAGATAAGCGTTTGTTAAATATTCAAAACATGTTGAATATTCAGGACAGAGTGACAGCCTTAGACGAATGAAAGCTAGGAGATTTCATTAAAAAAGAAATGTTGCAGAGAAGAAAATATTTTGCTCCTGTCCTTTTCCCTCCGTTTGGTTTAGGACATTTTGGATTCCTGCCTCCATCTAGTGTTGCCTCAGTTAAACTTCTACTTGAGTTTCATAAGGTTATGATGGTGAATCTAAGGTTAAGCTTGTATCTGCTTCTCTTTTTTGCCCCCATTGTTGTAAAGCACACTGGCCTGCATAGTTAATCATAATTAATATCACAATTTATATCATATTTTAACTTGAATATTTGAATATTTTGAACGTGATTATTTTTTATTTTATTTTATTCTTATTTTTTATTTTAATCACTTTGATTGAAGTGTGATTTCAAAACACTCACTTATCACTGAATTTAGAGGTTTCATGTATAAGTCAAGTCAAGTCAAGTCTGCTTTGTCAATTCTTCCACATGTACAGCACATACACACAGAGAATTGAAATTGCGTTTACTTTCAGACCCTTGGGTGCATACAGATAACATAAATACAGATTAAATACAAAATACAACTATACAAATATACAAATAAGGTAAAATGTAAAAATATATATATAAAGCACAAGGCATATGGCAGATAGAGTGCAAACCAGTAAAGTAAACAACAGTGCAGATATAGTGATTGTAGTGCAAAAATGATTTGTAGTGCAAAAGAGCTTATTCAGACTGATTAAAGTGACAGTGAGTGTGTGTGTATTTGGGAGGGGGGAGTGGGAGAGTCTGTTAGAGGGTCAGAGTTCAGTGGTGCGTGGGGCAAAAGAGGGGAGGGGGGGCAAGGTCATGAGGGAGTTCAGCTTCCTGACAGCCTGATGGATGAAGCT